CCACGGCGTTGGGGAGACGATCGTCCTCGAAAAACCGCTCAACCGTCGTCTTGGAGGTCGCAGCGGCGGCGGCGACGGCGACGGCGGAGGGTTTGGTGGTGGCGGACGCTGCCACAGGCCCTTTAGTCTTCCCACTCGCTTTCGCTGCCTCCTCCTCCAGTTCTTTGCAACAGTCAGCGACAATTTCGGCTTCGGTGGCACGCATTGACGTCTCGGATTGCAGAGTTCTGAAAGTGGGCAGTTAGATGAGAGTCGATTTGCACAATATACCTGATCAGCGTTCGTGGGTAACACTCAGAACAGCTGCAGTGGAAGCGTTTTGAAAGAATGGGGGCCAATAAGCACAGCCGAGGAGGCGTCCGACAGATTACGGAAGGGGAGAAATTCATGAGACACAGGAACACTTACGTTGGCGGAGCAGTCTGCTCCGATTTGGCTTCGGTTAGATCCCCAGCTGTCGTCACCAGTTGTAGCGTTCGATCTACAAGAGAAGTGATCTGCTAGCACCGAAATTCGCGCGAATCAGTAACCAACCGGGGATTAGCTCGAGCAGTCTCAGTAGGCGGGACAAGCCAGGGGTTCAGTGGAATTCGAAGAGGCGGGAGGTTACAACACAACTACGGCTAGACGACAGTCTCACAGGCATTTTTTGCTAAACCTACCAGTTTCAACGGAAGGTCCCTCGCGGGGTTGACTTTGGGGGCGCTGACGACGCGAATTCATGTGGCGACGGAGGATGCGTGGGCCGAGGTTCACGAGGGAGGCGAGGTGGGCGCGCGCGGACAGGGCGTTCGCCAGGAGTCGCTTGTAGGCTGCAAGGCGGACGTCGTGTACCTGAGGGTGCAGGAAGGCGTCAGCGGGAGCCGCATTGTAGACGTGAATCAGACTTGCCGCGTAGTCGGTGAGACCTGAATCATAAACCAAAGGCGTGTGACATGTGACACAATACTAGAACTTAGCACCCGCCCCAACTCCAACGTTCAGATTCATTCACTCAGTCACCTTCCACCAATCTGACACGAAGTGCCGTTTGCGTCCAACTTAGCCTCACAACAGGCCATTCACGAGAGTGTTACACACAAACCTACGTTGCAATTGGTTGACGAAACTTCGAACCTCCGCCTGCTCGGCCACCTCATCCACTTGCGCCATTGTCCATCCTGGAGTGAGGACATTTCAGCGTAGCCGTCGACAGACCACTTTCCCGATCCTGTGGGACCACCTCCGACATCTTCAAGCTGCTGCTGCTGCTGCTGGTGTCGACTACGCAGATCCTGTTGGATGTAGAGGTCTGTAAGAGCCCAGGAGCGGAGGGGCTGTGTGTCGAGGATGATGACGCGATCCTGCGTAATGTACATATCCACGCCCGCGGTGGTCCGCGGGTAGCCCTCAATCAGGGATGCGACGGTTTGCACGGGGAACGGCCCGTCACAAGGCGGACCCTCCACCAAGCGGTTGGCCATCAAATTCGCCACCGACGACTTGCCAGTCCCCTGTGGCAATTCAAAAAGAACATCTGGCAAAGAGGAGGATGCTGCTGCTGATGATGATCGACGAACAACCACGCACACACAGAATGAGTATGCAGTCAGTAGAATGAGTGGTAAGGACAACACTCGCGATCAGAGTACACTGATGAGGTCTCAAAATATCGAAACAGCCTGCAAGGACTGCTCACTACGGAGAAATTCAAAGGATACAGGGACACGGCATGGCAGCTACTGTCAACAGTACCTGGTGAAAACGAAAAGGAACAAATTCCCCCTACACATCACATCTAGTGTTTAAGGCGAGAATACTACGTCAGTAATCACCGCTGAATTTAAAAATTGATTGATGAAGAATAAGTACCTGGAGGCCAATCACGCCAACGACCAGAAAGCCAGAGTTCTCGATAAAGCAATTACGGACATCTTGGCTGTTGTCTAAGTGGAGGTTTTCGTTTATCAACTTCACCGGCCTGACCATCGGGTCGTCACACAGGGCGTAGAGCTCGTCCTTCGAATTCGCTGCCACGGCCTCATCGATGCTCGCGGGTGTCGAAAAGAGGTCGTAAACACAAGGCGGTGGCTCCGGAGTTACCACGGTTGTCATGGCAGTTCTAAGCAGGTTACTACCAGCAAGGAAGTATATAAACGAACAAATTCAAGGTTTTACGTAGAAAGGATCAGGGGTCTGAGTGCACAACCCTACGAGATAGGTAGCATGTCATTGCGGTTACATTACAGCGATAAATACAGTTACATCCATGAATTTGTGGACTGCTTCGATTAATAAAGAATTACCGCTTCTTAGTTTCAGAGTTCTTCACTAAGAACTATTGAAACGTATAAATTTAACAGTCGATGGAATTCTGACGTTGGAAACCTCGATCCATAACCGCTATTTAAATTCCAAATGCAGACAATCAGGCAGAATCATATTAGCAATGTACTCTCCAAGTACTTCAAAAAAAATAAAAAAAAATGGCGAAAACTAAGTTGCTGATATTAAAATAAATCTATATTGCCTCAATTAGCCTTGTGTGGTTATGATCGATTACTTATGTGGCGTCGAATCAGGGCGCAGACATGTTGGGCCACCTGGCCTCAGCCAATCCTGTGTCTCTGCAATCCAATGGCATGCGGGAAAGGAAGGCTGCCAACCAGAGAAGGACACGACTGAGGAGCAGTATATAATGGGCGGCGTGGCCAGCGCGGAGGACTCGGATGGAAGGCGCCTGACGCGTGGCTCTGGTTTCTGATTGGTCAATAAAGCCTGTTCTGTTGTACCAGTCTTTTTCCTATTAGGGCTCGGGTATTCTACACTTACCCAAGTGGGCCAGTGTGATGTTTTAGGCATTTATAGAAGTCGCAAATCAGCCTATGATCGTCAAGGAAATGGTCAGGTAGAACGGACGAATCGGACGCTCAAGACTCTTCTCAAGTTGCATTTGATAAATATGCGCTTCATCAGTGGGATGAGGCTTTACCAGCTTGTCTTGTGGCGTATGGGTCTGCTGTGAGAGATTGACAGCTAGTGTGAGTAAAAACCCGAGTGTTGGCGTTTCCATTATAGCGCATGGCACACAAGTATCACGCCTCACTAGTGGCAGTGAAAAATCACCAACTGCCAGGTAGTAGAAAGTAGACATGCATTCAATTGTAGGGTCAGAGGATTTTTGGGGTCTCGGATTGTTGTCATGTTTTTTGAAGAGGCCGCTAGTTACTCGGATTGCCGCAGAGTTGAACATCGGCGAGGGTGAGGCACAAACGTTTACGAGACAACTCGACGAAGTTGTGTTGTGTCGGGTGCGTGCATTTAAGGTAATATAAGACCAATGTGTTTTGCTGTCTGATACAGTCTGGAAGAGCTAATAGAAGTACAAACATTTGAAGTTTGTGAGGTGGTAGTGATGATACACGCACAAAGGTAAATGAGCAGACGGTGCCGCATGGCTAATGGGTTCGCTGTAAAAAGTGATCAGCTACTTGCCAATTAAAACTCACGCAGAATTTTATATGGTGAGCAAAAGTCTGGTAAAACTTACCATAAAATGTCGATGTCGGTACTGCAGATTCCGATTGTACCAACAAATGTCCAAGAGCATCTATAGAACTCGAAAAAACACTGTTTCGATGCACAACTCAATTTTCTGCGTTTAATGGAAAATTGGTCTTACAATATTGCATTTTTAAAAAAAAATTCTAATCGAGTCAACTTCAATGCAAACACGAAAATAACCGGTACATCTGTGATGCATGTACACTAACACGGAAATCTTTCGCTAGCTTGCAAGCTCTGATGCACTAAATACATCTTAAATTGCTCAGTGTAAGCGAATAATTTTGCACTAAATACATAAAAAATATTAAAATGCGATTCAAGCAAACATGATATTACAGGTACGTGACCCCTAACTACTCCCACATTCAGCACTACTAACTATTAACTTGCCTATTATTACTCTCTCCATTAACGCATTCTCCTAAACCTCGGTACTGATAAGAGATATTTCTATTATATTGTCGTAGAGAATGTTAATTTAGTGTCATTAGTTTGCTCATTATTAGAATTTCCATAAACCAACCCATAAATACCAAAAAGATAATGAATGCTTTGAGATCAAGTATATGGAAAAAAGAAATAACTTGACTTGACACGTTAGATTACACATGATCTTTATATTTTAAAAATGAAATTAGGATAATAGATCACAAAAAGATTCTTCTTCATTTTAATTTAGTGTCTAAAGTGTAAGAAATGATTGCATTAAAGGCAAAGTTATTACTATAAATTATTCAGCATTGCGAATGGAATTGGTTTTGTATGTTTTTACCTTAATTCTGTGATTGGAATTAACTTGAAAAATTACATGAGTTTCTCTCTACTTTACATCTTTCCATTCCACTGTAAACAAAAAAACGCATTTCAAAAGTATTTTTATTTTAACGTAGAAATTACCTTTTTTCAAACTCTTTCGTTTCTTATGCATAAAAAGGTACGTATTATACTAAACATTTTCATAGAATGCTTTTAAAGCAAATCATAAGCCTCGGAAGACTAAAAACAAAATGAAACACGCACTATTTTGTCATAAAAATGATTAAAAACAAAAAAAGTTTTCTAAAAGTCTTTAAATAGGTATTTTTCTATGGTACTTTTGTTGATGTAAGCTAGTTTTTGATATTATGGACTGATCGGCCAATTTTAAATTTGCTCTGTGGCCGGCAAGTTTGTGTGCTTAAGTTGGTGATTTCCTTATTTTGTTTATGTATTACGAATAATTAGGTTTCTTTTGCATTAATATGTTGATGCCGACATTTCAATCAATATATGTGGCATGTCTACATTTTTAAATTGACCAGAGACCTCGTTAGATGGGTGCCTACTATTGTGATGATTTCCAAAATTATAGTATTCCTTGAAAGAGGTGTAGTGCTTGTAAGTGCAGCATTCAGAAAGATGTAACTGACACGATGTTTGTTTTTTTTAATGTTTTGGTCGCGTTGGTTTCGTCTATGCTACTACCCACAGGGATCTCCCTCTTGTAAATTGTTAAATACGCTTCCAATGGTATACAGATAATGACCGCCCTTTTAGGTATCTGTTCCTTGTAGCCTTTTAGGTCATTAAATCTTCGCTCGAAATTTAATTTTCGTGTGCTTTAGATCTCCTGAACTCGGTACTTGCTGCCCAGTATCGTGATAATGATTAAAGTCAACGCGTGTTGCAGCAACGTTTCACAGGAATTACTGTAATATCATTGACTAAAATACGAACGTACACTTTAAAAGTAGCCAAGATTTTTGTCGCTGAGTGTAACGATTTACCTCGATTCTCCTTAATGCTTGTATATTTTGCGTTGCAGGAGTAGTATTTCTGTTATCATGCGTGTATCCGGCCCCATATTCTTAGACAACTAGATCAATCTTACTTGGTGTAAAGATTTATTTTAAACCCAGTACTCTGTTAACTAGTTTTTTTGAAATTTGAGTTTGGTGAAAAGTCGATGTCACTTGCTGAGCTTGTGACCCCTGCTTAGTGGTAACCGCTTCACAATATTTTCACTGTTGGAGACTGCAGCTTTCAAGGCTCTTTGTTTTTCCCGAAATTGATTTTACTTTTCTCATTCCTCGGGTCTTTAATACTGTCTTACTTTGAAATTTTGATATACTCTTTGCTGTTGTCTATGTAATAAATCCTCGCCGGCTTTTGCTTCATCTTAATCGTATTAATAGATCATGCCACATATTTACCGTGTTGCCTCCAGAGCCGCAAAAGCAATCGTTGCACACTCCGTGGTCACGATTTTTTTAGTGTCAAGTGATTAGAAATTTTCAGCTAATCCAAGCAGTTAATAATCTGTCTTGCTATTTGTGAATTCTATGTCATGAATTTAATTGTTTAATCGACTTCAATCTTGCTTTAATTTGATGTTCATTTAAGTGGATTCAGACACTGTTTAGGGCCTAATTCAATTAGATTCTGCTTTTCATAAATAATATACAAATATGGTATTGTTCGCCCACGGTCCTTGATGTCTAACTTTACGGAAGATAGTGGGATTTTGTCAACCGATTCCACCTCTAAACCCTGTCAAGAAATTTGGGTAGTATCCCATTAATCACCCGTAATTTACAGGAAGCTAAGACCCCAGTTTGTGGAGACACTCTAGTGGTGAACTGTTAGTAAAAACCTATCAGTAGTATCTTGTCAGAATAAGCTTGCCTTTAGGCGTTGTGAACATGTGATTTGCCCTAAAACCTCATTGGTCGTCACATGCAGCTAATCATCTCTCTTTAAAAAACGCCTATAGGCGCGCACACACACACACACTAGCTCTCGCACATTTGACACACTTCCTTAACAGTTAAACAAGTCGATCCTCCCACTCCGTCATGTATTTTAAGTAGCCCTTCTGTTAGACTCGGTAGGTTTCTTTCAGGAATCTGGATTGTAGTGTAGCCGTTTGTGCTACACTTTCATTGATTTGTGCTGGGAGTATTTGGAAATATTGCGTCGTTAGCGCAACGCGCCAGCTCATCCACTCGACAATGAACCGCTGCTATTGTGCTTTAAGGTGCTGGCGATGAACACTGATGGATTTCACTAGTGATTTCGCTTCTGCTGGTTTCGGTGAGCTCTTCGCCTCGCACGATGACTTCTTTATGTCTTTCAATGAATTCTGCAAGGTGAGTTTGCGGCATTGAACTGTCAGATGACTGGTGTATTGAGTCACTTTTGTTGTCGGTGTGCCTGTGTGCTTCTCTGATCAGTAGGCAGTCTTGATTAGTACACTCATTTACTGTTTATATTGCGTTTCTACGACAAGGGCTTCCCTAATTTTCCCTCTTCGCACTGTGACCGTTTGTCTGGCACTTTTAGCTGCGCAATCTCGACTACCTGATGCGAGATTCGCGCTTCTTGAAGCCCGCTGACCCCAACGAACTGCCGACGCTGATTCGCTCCGCGAAATTCGTCTGCTACGAGTACAAGAAGCCGCACTGCTGCCCGTCATTCGTTGAGATCTCCCTCCTCAGTCGCGGTTTGCGCGTCAAGCGTTTTGTCATGACGCACAACCACGACGAGAGTGGATTCCTTGCCAGGAATCTATTCCGCCAGTTCCTGGCCAATCACGAGTTCTCCTCGTGGGACGACCTCAAACAGCAAGTTAGTGCCTATGAGGAGGTATGTTGCGTCTTGTCTTACTTCTGCTGTCTCTTTGTCAAAAACATGCCAACGTTTGCTTCGATCGTACTATAACAAATATTCCTGCAAATTTATTTCTCGAAGAGTGCATCATGTGCAGTCCTAACATCAGGATTGGCTAAGACTCCACCAATGAACTTCTCACCGTTGCTAAGGTTATTTTAGCATCACTACACGTGTCACGAGTCGTGACTCAGTTCCACGATAGAGTCGATCAACTGGTTGCTGCTCAGATCGAATTCTCAAAAAATACTGCTCTGATTTAGACTGTCGCATATCTCAATAGCCATGCGCCAACTACCCGCGCATTTGAATCCGCGTCAAACGGTGTCAGAGTTTTTGGCTTTAATTAAACCACTTGCCTCGTAGGCCACTGGAACCCACTTCAGGACGCGGTCCACCTTCCAGATTAGCCCTGGTTACCCTCGTCACGAATTACTCAAGTACGCCATGGCGGACTTCGCGTGCGTGCACAACGGCAGATCCAAACCCTCGAAGGATCTGTAAGTGTTTTGCTCGTATCATTCCATTTTTTTTCTGTGACGACTTGCTTTGTGCTGATTGGTCGATTACGCGTGTATTGACCAATAGAAATCGAGAGCGGCGGCATGTGGGAAAGATTTGTCGAATTATCACATCGGTGGTAATTGATAATTATCGTGCCCAGTAACACATACATATGCTACCTTATACTTTTTTGGCATTTTAGTCGTCCAAACATCAAATTGGGCTGCCAGGCGTGTTTCATTGTCAAATTAATGGGCGACAAGTTGGTTATTGAGTCCTTCAACGTCACTCACAATCACTTCACCTATCCGCCTGATCCAGCTCTTCACAAGGCACCAACAACTCCCCCTGATGGTACGTCTACCCAGTTCTCTTGATGCTACTAATCGCAGAACCAGTAGTAAATACTTTATGCATGTGGTGATGTTGTGATTATCGCGTTTCTATTGCCTTTCAGTTGGAAAAAGAAAATTACAGGACATCTTCCAGTGTTATCAGAGGGACAGCGACGTTCAGGATGAGACTAAGGCACCGACCGAACCCACGCTCCAGCCAGTTGCTACGACCTCGGAAAACGCTCAGCCCAGGTTTGTACTTTCCAGCCGTGATTATCGATGTTGATTGGTCTACGGCGGTTGGTTTCTGTGTTAAACTCATCGGCGTGAATGTCTGGCTTCAAGTTGTTGCCTGGTTTGCCCACCTTGAACTCTTGACGTTTTTTGTCTCTTTCCCCAGTTTGCCCGTTGAACCTGATGACTCCAAGAGCCTCCAGCTCGTTGCGTCGTTGGCGACAGACCAAGACACACCTCTCGCCTCAACAGACAATGAAGTGTACGTCCCCCTCCTCCCTAAGCCTGATTTTAACCCGCCAGACACCACCGAACCCCAGTCATGTGCGTGACTTGGTTTCGGGGTCGCGTTGGCCTTTGAACACGTTTAATGCGGACCCCCACGCGCGCTATCTAACACCAATTTGTCCCGTTGTTGCTTCATAGTGAATCGTACGTTCAGGTGACTGCTGCTGACGTGCGTACCTACCAAGTTCTCATTCATGGCGTAAGTGGGCACCCCTGGATTGTGCGGGCATTCACGTAAAGTAATTCGAAATGCAAAATGCGACTTCACGTTTCGTCGTGTTAAAGAAAGGAGTGAGTGTTAAAACTAAGGCGGGGAACGATGCAAGACGTCTGCAAGCGTCGTACACCTACTTTTACGGCAGTTTTAACCTGTTCTAATCTATTTCAAATTGGGGACTTAAGTAAAAACGACAAACTTCGCTTCGGGTGGCAGTCTGGCACTAAAGCTGACTTTATCCGTGATTATGTCGATGATAATAGTGATGATAATAATCCAAGGATTACCACTAAGATGGTTGCGGAGCGATTAGATGTTGACGCGTTGACTACACTTCGCCATGTAATCCGACTTTGAAATGCTCCGAACCTTAATCTGTGGATCAAGTCATAACACCAGATGAAAAGTGTTCTGTGTATGACAACAAAGTACGAAAATGCAACAGCGTCATTGGCAGAGGGTTGATTGCATTCACTTGGAGTGCTCGAATGTGATTGGTGGGTGGATTGCAAAGGCACCGCATTACACGAGCATCATCCACCTGACCAAACAAGAGGTGTGGAGATGTGTCGAGAGTAACCCAACCAAGTCGATGCTGAAATCCATGCAAAATGTGTAAATTCGGTCAGTCGAGGATGCGTCGTCGTCCACCATGGCGCCGCGAGGCCATGTGTCGCTCAAGAGAAACTGGGAAATTTTTCAAGCGTACACAATCTCTTACAATCACGTAATTACAGCGTAGACATTCAGACTACCCAATGCACCCGGTTATTTCTGCAAATAATTCGCTGTTATATTTCATTTTGCGCTAACTTGATCAGCTCGGACACTGGCCAGGTCTGCCTTGCCCACCAGTCGTCTGAGCCAACACCGCCCACGACGCCGACTGCAACTACCATCGCCGCCTCCGCTGCTGCCACCACCCCCTACCCTCTCCAGGCCGTGATTGTCCAGCTGGCAGGTAGGCGCCCTTTCTGCACCAACCTGCTCTCTCTAGTCGCCTCGTCCAGTTGACCTTAATGTGTGTGTTTTTTTGTCGTGTCCAGCTGTTTTGCCTCAAGTCGACCGCGTGGATCAGTCGTGCCAAACCTGCCCCGAGGACGTCTACGCTTACACCGAACACCGTACGCGCTCCTGCCCATCTTTATCGTCCTGCTCGACGCCTGGTTAAGCATTGCTTGCTTAAATAAGCCACTACAGACAGGCTAAGATTCTTGCAAGTCTAAGCTCGAGTTCCATGCGGTTTACCTGCCTCAAAAGTGGGGTTGCTAGGTGCTAGGCGCGCCTCTTGACCTCCCTTTTTCCCCAACGGCACTCAAAACCCCCAGTAGACGCCCGCAAGCGACGGATGATGGTGCTTGTATTACGACTGTTTCCTGAGTGTCTAGAACTTGTAGTGATCGCAGATGGAAAACACGCTAAATCTGGTTGACACAGTTCGAGTTACGCGTCTATGTGTGAGTGTGTATGTGATCGGTGTGACCTGATTGTTTTTTTCAGTCACTCTGGTGAACTGCGCCACGTGCAAATCCCTCTTCGATTCGCCCGTGTGCTTGAAGTTGACGAACCAACTCACCACGGAGCAGGCCAGCCTTTTGGAGCCGAGCACTCGAGCACGTCACGAAGCCTTCAAGCAGGCGCTGTCCCAGTTGACGGACGAGGAGTTTGCGAGGCTGGCTGCACCGCGTCTGGCGACGGGCTCGTTCTCCCTCTGGGACCACCTTTGTCTCCTCGCCGACCGCCGCGGAAGCCGCTCGAGGGTCGAAGGCGTCGCTGCGGAGTTCACCGAACTGGCCGGTCGCTTCAGGGCCTTTTTCTCAGAACAACTCGAACCGGTGGTTGAGCCGACGCCTCCCAAACAACTCAGGTGGGGTCGTGCGCGCTACCGAAATCGTGGACTGATGGACGTGTCCTACGAGGATGAGACGGGAGGCGACGATGCCGACGGACCGATATTCGAGGTGATGCCTTCGTGGGGTGCGACTGACCACCACATCTAAGCTTCGAGTGTAGATGAGTGATGATGACGTCTTGGTCTTTTTTCCCCCCATCCTTGGCAATAGGTTCGATCTGACGCCGATGCAAGACTGCTGAACCTTGTCGTGGGGCGCTACAGGATCCGGAGTAGTCCAACCACCACCACCACCACGCCAAAGGTGCAGCTTCCAGGTCAGCAGCCTCAACCGGCCGGGGTGCCATTCGAGGTCTGGCTCAAGAACCTTCCACCGAAACGCGAGCGCGGCCGCCCGATGAAGCCTACGCCACCTTGTGTCACATACAACCTCCCTCACTGGAGGCCCATTCGCAAGAAATGCGAGGTGGCGTCTAACCTTGTGAAGAAGTCCCTAGCCTCGCTGGTATTCGTCCGCGAACGCGACAATTCGGTGAAGCCGGCAGCCGCGACGGAGCAGGAGGTGGTGGCGGGCGAGGAGTGCGCGGGCGCAGTTCTTCGACCAGACAGCCCCCCAGCACCCGCCGCAGACGCCAGCACTCCTTCTGAACCCCTAACAGACAATAAATGAATGTGCAGTTTGTAGGGTGTTGTCAGATGCTGGAGCGGAGTATATGGGTGGGGGGAGGGGGGGGTTGGCAGTGGTGCAAGTGTGTGGCACTCACCAAACCCTTTAAAACCGACTGATTTCTCATCATTGTGTTCGATTTTCGCTTAGGCGACTTCAGGTGTTGACGAGGGCTGGCATCACATAACACTGAAATTCGATATGTCATGCATGGTGGTGGGTAGCCTGTCTCAACGTGTGTTTGCAAAATCCGCCATTTGCCAAGTGACCCCACAACCTTAGCGACAGCACGAGTAACCTAAACATGTGGTGCGTTATCTGCAGCCGTGCTTCATTTTCACCCAACCATGTATTCCACCAGCATCGGCAAATAATCAGATGCCTACGAAAACCAATAGTGAAATTGCGACTTAAATTACCTTCACGAGCCAAAAAATGAAACTGGGTGAATAAAGAGCGAACAGGTAGCACCCAAGTCACCCACTATTCACTACGACTCAATTATAGCAAGGAACGACACTTATAAAACGAAATTTGCCCGCGTACACCCATGCCACCAAACTAAGGTAGATACACAATTCTTCCTATCTCCTTCATTCTAACATTAGCATAGGGTTTGCTCCACCGAGTGTTTGAGGCAGAGAGAATTCAAAATTTTTTAAAAAAACATCAAAAAAGAGTGGATGTGTCACAACCATTGGAAAGAAGCATGCACTTGAATTTGGCGGGCACCGGCAGTTGTTCGATGTACTGGCTCAAAGCACACCGAGGCAGCGGTGTTCGATCGAGGTGGCGCCGCAGAGCCCCTCGGCAGGCGCGTCGAGCCAACAGGGCAAGGGAGGCTGTGCACAGCTCGGCTGTGCGTTGCCTTCGCAGGAAGCACTCCACCTCGTGGGCTATCAGGCGGTCAGCACCGGTCCCCTTCACCTGAAAGACGCAACGCACATCGGGGGAGTCATCACGGAGCTGGTAGAGACAGTCCTGGTAAAGCGGCAGGGCGAACCGCAGCCACTGGGAAATCTCATTGTCGCCTTGGATTCCCGAAAACCTCACCAAGTCGCGCATGTGTGCCTGCAGCAAGCTGGTGCTCCCAAACAGGGCTGTTATGAATCGGGGATCAAAGTCACTCAGCAACGTGCACAGCGCCTGTGACTGCATAATATCAAGACGGAGGCTGGTGGAGCAGTGCGAGATGAAGTCGGATGCATCATCCACGTGGGGCAGCAAGAAGCCACCGACAACGTCCAAAACTGTCGAGTCACCTAGGCATTGGAAAGTTCGCGTGCAGATTTACTGGGCTTGGATATACGCAAAAAACAGCAAAAGTTTACTGCTCCGAAGGTCTAGTTTTGTACGTGAGTTTGGGGGATTCAAGCAATGCGCATTTGAAGCTGTTGGGGATCCAGGATTCCCCAAGATGGCTCCTTGCCAATTTCGTCATGAATTACACTAATTATCTAACATCTATGTTGATCCATTTTCATCCATCATGTCAACGTCACCCTTGACTTACATAAGTGTTCACTTTTTGACAGGCCAATCGCCCTTTCCCTGAGACAATTAAACCTCTCTGGTCATGTTCCGCATTAGCGTGATAGGGTGAGTTCTAAGCGCAGACAAGGGATCTTGCACGGTTTATTTGAGTGGACTTTTCTTGGTTACGCGCAAACATAACAGAAACATTTCTGGTAGTTTCGCCGACTTTAGTGAAGTACATTTCGAGCCAATCGCAAAGTCGCAACGTGATCACCTGGGGATTTGCACATTACAGTGAATGGTTTGCTCAATAGAGACGCGAGGAAACGATTTACGAAAGTAGGCGCCTCTCGTACTCACTACGGCAGGCGAAACAGAAGTGATATCACGCTATTGTAGAGAAGGGGCAAATATATCTACATTTAAAAAAATGCACATACCATGGAAGCTGGTGCTTTCAAGGAACCGCACCGCCTGCAAGCAACCCTGTCCCGCCACTGTGGGTACAGATAACCTCATGCAAAGTCGTCTGAATTCTGTTAAAAAATTAACTTCAAGCCGGTCGCTGCAACAGTGCAGGCGGGAAAATCTATTGAGGACGAAAGGAGCGATATAACACCAAAATGCGCAAAGTGGAGTCTCAATAGGAGGGACACGTGACAGAACCCTGTCCCAGTCATAAAATGGCCACAAGAACCCGAGAACCATTAGAAGGTACAGAATACAAACTTCCGGAGAACTCTCGTCGACTAGAAGTGCCGATGTCAGTGTGGGATGAAGGCATTCACCGTGATCGGGTCTTCGGTGAAAAATGCAACGAGTGATTTTCCAGATAAAATCGCTGTGTTCCATCAAACTCCCGGAAATGGGTATTTCGAGGATACATTCGAGTGTGTCGTTGCCAGACAACTCCAAAAAATGCACTTCATGCCCACTGCCATCCGCAGATGGAAAGTGAGCAACAATATATGTGAGACCAGAGTGGAAACCTCTCGATAACCCAGAAATTACCTGGCACAGAGAAGAGCTGCTCAAAATTGCCGACAAAGGCTTGAAAAAGAATGTGAGTTGAGGCCAGCAGTCAATATCCACGAGGGATGAATCCTCAAATCGTCCCTTAGTATCAGAGCTTTCAATTCGTACAGTTGTGAGGGAGAAAATAGACAGTTTGCATTTGTTTAGGAGTTCCACAAGCCCACCTTTGTTATCGAGACACGAATGAATGACTTCTTTGATTTTGTTGAGTGACTTACACTGGTGCATTGTTGAATCCTGGGGTCTCCTCCACCATCCAAATGCAACACCAGCACAAGTTCAGTTGACGCGGACTCATTGACTGTAAATATTTTGTGACTGAGTGATGGGCTAAAACAAATAAAATTAAATCACCACCAATTATGATCCAAATGAAATTGACTTGTACATTATAGTGTAGGAAGTGACGTAGGCTTGCGCTTCCTTAAATTTTTGGACGATGTAATATTCCCTTATGTTCTTAATAACATCTATTGAAATTCATGACAAATTATAATCAAGTAATTGATTTTTAGGGCAGTAAATTCGTAGGGCATATTTGAGAGTTAAAATCACCAAGCCACCTCGATTTGGAAACATTTGGGCCTATTATTTGTCATGCAAACCAGAACCAACATTTTTATGATGCTTGCATTTCTTTCGCCCTATGTCTGTTAACTTCCAGCAACAAATGTCAGTTAAAGTGCATGACAAACAAATGTTATTTATTTGCATATTCTTTAAAACTAGTTTTTTGCTAAAAATGAACGATGGCATCGCGTTTTGTACTTCAAGTACTGGTAAATAGCAATTGGTTTATGTGATGGCGCGGAGTTCACCGTCATTGGGCTGATGCGTAAAGCAAGGCTAATTGTTATAAAGTTGGATTTTTTGTACTTGCTTAGAGGCAATATAAATTTATTTTGCTATCAGCCACTTAGTTTTCGCAATTTTTTTTCAATTTTTTGAAGTACTGGGAGAGTACATTGCTAATGTACTTTCTGCCTGATTGTCTGCATTTGGAATTTAAATAACGGTTATGGATCGAGGTTTCCAACGTCAGAATTCCATCGACTGTTAAATTTATACGTTTCAATAGTTCTTAGTGAAGAAC